CTTTGCGTTCTCCGTTTGCTAACCATGCTGGATAGTGGCCCGCGCGCATTTTACAAGCAGACGCATGGTACGGCCAATGTACTCAGCTCCACAAGAGCAAGTGAACTTGTATACACATGTTGAAGTGGCCCAATACGACAGCTTGTCTTTCACGCTGTCCACCTCATGGCCCGAATCAACAAGATGTGTCTGGCAGTAGATAGCACTGTTCAGAGCATTTGTTCCCTTGAGATGTAGGCCTTTTGGTACATGTTCAGATTATCTGAGATATTCGCCCCATCTTCTTTCTCTTCTCCCAATGTAGTAACTGTTCCCGTAGATACAGGTATATTTGTTTACTCAATTAGAGTAAAAAAGGCAAGGGTATTTATATCAATCTTCAATAAACGGGGGAACCAATTTAGCCTGCAGGCTATACGTTGGGGCTAGAGAAGTTTTCAGTCTTCTGTTAATTATTCCTGCGACATTATCGATTTAAAGTCGAGTCGGATGAAGACAGGTTTCTTACTCATCAATATGGTTTGTTTCATCTTTAGATTTTCAGATCTTCATTGCAGGTAAAATATATTTTGATAAAGTGTCACACACAGTGTGTTTGTTATGCACTGATATTAACCGATGCCACCACACGCTTCGAGCATAATTTTTTGCTGCTCATCGTCACCATCTAAAGGAACTACTCACACAACTTTCGAGTTTCGTTTATATAATTCCATTATTTTTCATCACTTGACTTCTTTTTTAAATTTTACTATAGCTTGACTCCACACAGTATTTTTGATACAAGTATGAAATTTTCAGGCCGTAATATCGGTAGCCGAAATTTAGAAGCCTGACCATTGAAATCAGGTGTGCGTCGGCTGGAGATGGAATCCCGGACCATATGTATGGTCGGCGAGCATCCTAACCACTATGGCACCAACACACTAGATTGGTAGTAGTATTTTCCATATTTCCGGTATGAATGATGAGTCATTCCTATTGCACGTGTTATTTTGAGTGTGTAGACTCGATGATCCAGAATTCAGTAATCAACTTCTCTCTGTCTCCACCTACCTGTATTACTTTTTAGAATTTTGACTCTGTCACACCCACCGCACTGTGTGCTTGTGTGTTAAGGGATGCAGTGCTATGTAGTGCTGAGCTGTCTTCTAAATTACTTATCTTCGCGGGGTAAATAAGTAATTTAGAAGACAGCTCAGCACTACATAGCACTGCATCCCTTAACACACAAGCACACAGTGCGGTGGGTGTGACAGAGTCAAAATTCTAAAAAGTAATACAGGTAGGTGGAGACAGAGAGAAGTTGATTACTGAATCCTGGTTCATCGAGTCTACACACCCAACACATGCAACAGAAATGACTCAATGCAAATACCAGAGAATTACGGGGTTATTCATACTATACACATGGTAATCAAACTTTCAGTTATGCAGAAGGAATTACCTTGCACAGACAGACAGACAGAAAGTTAAATCGTTAGAGTACAGCAGATTGAAGCAGAGTAGAGTAGAGAGTGAAGATTTTCTGTCTATCTCCCAGCATCCAGTTGACTCCGGAAACAGGCAGAATCAGATGTTGGTGAACTACCATTTCTAGACTGACTGCCTAGTTAAGAAGAGGGAAAACTGACATTTTAGTAAGTCTACATTCAGGAAGAAAACCAACTCAAACAACAAAATATTTAAATTGTGGAAAATACCCATCGTGACATTATAGGGAAAAGAACAAGAAGTTTTAGACTTTTTAGACTTCCCAGTGTCCCACCGACGACATTAGTTGGGGTCGCGCTAAATCACGAATTGGTAGAAGTTAGAATTCATGGGCTGGACTTTGAGGTGTCGGGTCCCAGTGGCTGAATGGTACACGAGCTTACCTTGTAACCGGAAGGTCCTGGGTTCGAACCCCAGTGGGTGCGTACTGCCCATGGTTTCCAAACTAGGATGAAACAGCTGTCCAGTACTCCCTGGTTTTCAATGGTTCTCTAACTGATATCAATCCATTATTATGAGTAGTAGCAATGATAAGTTGTGCTTGAAGCGTGTGGTCATCATCAGTAAATATTACTGTATAACAAACACATTTTGAGACTTTATTAAAATAAAATTTTATCTACAATGGAATTATACTTTACCACCACAGTGCACAAAATCTCTTCTTATATCATATCTTCAAACATTATTTTCAAATTTAGTTTTCTCCAGTCTTTCTGTGGCGCGTATTCTTCTGACTCTGTAAAAAATAGAGTTTTGATTAATGCTCGTTTGTAGCTGATCGGAAAAAAAAACTACTGAAATTTAAGTATACTCCATTTGCATGTGGATTTTTGGTGAATCGATGGATCTTTGTAGACTCCCATCTACACCAAGCGTTTTTAAAGGTAATATTTGGGAAATAGAACTTTCCATCAAATTTCATGTACCGTTGTGAAGTCAGTATTCTCATATGCGTCACTGAACAGTTGAAGTGAATTAGATGAGAATCGCGATTCTCATTATCACAGAATATGAAAGTGTCATCACGATATATCGACAAATATGGTAGTTTAGGCCCAGTGGAAGTTAAAGCTCATTGGTACCATAAGGGTTATTTAGAAATTCAGTTTTCACATACCTTTGATAGTCAGATTAAGCCTGAAATTATATGCAGGGATTATTATTATTATTCTCTTGAGTTCCGAGTGGAACATAGGTCTTCAACAACACGTCCCCACTCTGACCTATTCTCTACGGAACTCTTCACCTGCCTGAATTCACGATTCCCCATAATCTCTCATCTTCTCCTCACACGATCTCTTCCATGTCACCCCTGCACCCACCACTCACTAGTCGCTTCCCACTGTGATTTCACTCGAGCGATGACCTGCATGTCATTTGACGGCCTCCCTCCTCGATGTATGCCTGATCAACCGATCTCCATTTTCTCCTAAATCTTTGGCTAGCGATCGGCCCTAGGTTGGTTCATTCATTGTTACAGTTTCTTGTTACTTTTTTTTTCTTGCGATTGGATCTTCAACATGGAGCTAGCCAGCCATCGAAGGGGGCAGCTGTTGATAAAATTCTGCAGTAGCCTGTTGGAAATGTTTTTCATGAAACCAACGCCAAGATTCTAACCAATATAGAAGAAGTGACTGACTGACTTATTTCACATTTGTGTTTGAAATCCGAATGTTGTACTTCACGCTGAAAGGAGTGAAGAATAAAATTTTTCAAGTTGATTAAGGCTTATCTTGCTTGTCTTTCCGATTCTGGCTGACTGGCTGGATGATTTTGACATCTTCATCCGTGCCATCGCCTGTGGTTGAAACGATGCTGGCTGCCTAGATAAGTGAATGAGGTGACCTCTGTGAAATCTCTCCTGTTGATTGTGATTGGCCTGGCTGTTGTTGTTGTTGCGGTTCGTTGATTATCTTCATCACCTCCATCTCCACCTTCTCTATGTTCACCTGGATGGAGTCCTGTCTTCTCTGCCAACGTCTTCAGCCAGTTTGTTGCTTGTCGCCTGCAATTCTTCAAGTTTGTGTGAAATGTTAACGACATAAATCATCCACACGTGATATCCAGATCATCTAGAGTCTTCTAATTGGTCGGTGCAGCGTATTCCTCTCTTCTCACTCACTCACTCCCGACACACAATCTTACACATCATACAGTCCACCACAATTAGGAATATCATCGTTGGTGATAATAGGCAGACTGCCAGCCAGTCTGGTTTTACTCTTGTATTCACTATTTCGAAGGCATTACTGAGTTTTCCGTTGTGGATCACCTGATACGTGACATTTTCACATAGCCAGCTGTTGAGTGAGGTTGATGAAAACTTCGAAACTGCACGCCGTGGTGTTGAAGCAGTTTCTAAATTACTTCTCAGTCAGCACTGTCTGTCGAAGGCCTTTTTGAAGTCGATGCAGTTGTTGAGGTAGCGAGAGAATGAGGTATGACTTCCATTCTATTCTGTGTTCTGTAATGACGACGCTTCTCTCCAGGATGAAGTGACTTATTATCTTACTTGGCGTGAAGAAGAGCATTATTCCACGCCAGTCAGTTCTTGCAGAGTGAGGCGTATGTCTCCCTTCTTTGATAACTTGACAACTTGAAGTTTCTGTAACAGTTTGATATATTTTATAGGACTGACTCGCTAGACTTACACGCAGCCATCCCTCTTTCCGCAGGCCTGCGACCGGTCAGAAAACTAGCGAGTTAATAAACTAGGCGAGGTTCCTAAAATATGTTAAGCTAATTCACTGAACACGATAACTCATCGAAATACTTTGAATTTTTTCTACCATCAATTCATTCAAAAGTAATGGATACAGACTTAATTTTCTACATGCCCCTCTTACATGTCTGTTTGTACTTCTCTCACCGCCCACACTTATTGATCAACAGACCTGATTTTCTCTCATCCAACTACTTGTCACCTTTGAAATCCTATTGGTTCCTCATTGTCTTAGTTCGTCAAGGACATTAGTCCTCCTCAAGGTTATTTTAAAAACACATATATGTATACGCGAGCACTGTCAACCTTTTAATTAGACTGTTGTTTTGAGACAGCAAAAATCTCTCTGACCAATCAACGTCCACTTTTCTCTTCTACCTTTTGGTGGCGCGGCTGTAATATTGTTGTTGGCGTGCGATTAGGGCAGTTCAGTCATCGCATTTTTACGAGTTGATCACGAATTTATTTATTTAGTTATTCATTCACCTGTTTCACCTACCTAGTTTGGGAATTATTGGCAGTACGCACCCACCCACCACATTGGGGCTCGAACCCAGGACCCTGGTTTTCAATGGTTCTCTAACTGAGTCATCAATCAATTCGTGGTCAAACTCGAAAAAACAAATCTAACCTTTACAAACGAACTCCTGAAAACTATTCAGATGCTCGGTATTGACTGCCTGGCTACAGGATGGCATTTCCTGGAGTTCTAATGAGAAGTTGTAAAATGATGAAGTGTATATATATTTTACATATCTTTTATTTATTTATTTTTCTTCAGGAAATGAATACTTTCCGTGGGAGCATATTAAAAATGATGTTGATGGATGCTATATGTATTCCACTTGTTTATACTCAGGTTAGTGAAATGAAAGTGTCACCTCTCTCTCTCTCTTTTATATCTGTCTTTCTCTCTCCTACTACTTTTATGCATTTATATAAGTAGTGTAAGTGTCAACTGGTTAGAAATCAATAAATCAGTTTTATTCAGGATTGATCGTGAGCTGACGTCAGTTAGAGAGAACCATTGGAAAACCACCTGGGTGTACTGCCAGACAGCTGTCTCTGTTGTCCTAGTTTGGGACTCTGCTTCAGCAGTACGCACCCACCTCCCACTGGGGTTCGAATCCAGGACCACCTTCTTGTTACAAGGCGAGCGAGGTCGTAGACCATTGGCCAAACCATGCATTCCAACTTCTGCCAATTCATGATATGAGTATTCAAAAGTATTAAATATTAATCCAATGCTCACTACTGACTGGCCCTATTCGGGTAGGCAGTTACCTGGGGTTCTAGTGGTAAGCCATGACCAGTAGGGTGAGGACAAAAACTCATCGAAGAAGACATTGCGAAGTGATCGTGCTATATTATACGTGAAGTGACAGAAGTTAGAATTCATTGACTGTCTAGCCATTGGATTCGTGGGTCCCAGTTACTGGCTGCTTAATGGTCTACGAGCTGGCTCGCCTTGTAACCAGAAGGTCTTGGGTTCGAAACCCAGTGGGGTTGGTGCGTACTGCTGGAGATCCAGTCCCAAACTAGGACGGAGGAAACGGCTGTCTAGTAGTACTTCCTGTGGCTGGTTTTCCAATGGTTCTCTAGCTGATGTCGCCTGATGATGAAGTCCTCCAACCAATCATGATATGAATATTTAGCGCAACCGCCAGCCATTGTCACTGGCGAGTAACTGTCCTCTTGCTTAACTTGCTGGACTACGCTAGTTGGTTACAACTTTTCGCACTAGAAATTCAGGTGTACATCCTGGATACTGTCAGTCACTAGTGAGCATCAGATCGGCTATTAAGTGCTGTGGGTTTTTCTCGAGTGATCGAAATTAACGTTATATAGACTTATTCGTGTAAGTGTAGAACTTGACCACTGTGGTGGTAGAATGCGTATTCCCTTGGGTTCCAAGTAGAACACATCTCCTAACCGCTGTGCCACCGATGCACAGTTTGCCTGTTACTTCAATAAGTAATTCACTATTATCACTCTCATATGTTCCTTTTTGTACATTTTCACACCCTTTTCACACTTGTTAAATTGAAAAGAGTCTCTTCGCTGAATCACTTGTTTTGATTTTCTATATGTTACAATTTTTTCCATATATATATATATATATCAACGCTACAAGATATGCCCTCAAAATCTCAGTATTTATGGATTTTTTTACCAGTTTTATCTGTCTTAATTGTCGGTTTTTTTGTTTTTTGCTCTTATTTAGGTTGTAACATTAGCAGTGTACTCTTATGTGATCGCTTCCCTTATCAGTAGTCAATTTATCATCAGCAGTTCACCTCTTGCTGGAATGGCAAAATCAAAGGATTTATATTTTCCATTGTTCACACTATTAGAACTTATTGTCTATGTTGGCTGGTTAAAAGTAAGAGTTGAAATATGACCAGTTTAGCTCTTCTTTTTTTTCTACGAAAGTCTCATAGTGTATTCGTGTTATATGGTAAAAAATATGTATTGATGACTGACTACCGAGCTTTGAGCACAACTGATTTATTGCTGCTCATTCACCATCATTTCAAGGAACTATTCATAGAACTTTCTAACTTCGTTTATATATATATATATATATATTATTCCATTATTTTTCATCGCTTGATTTGATTTTTTAGTAGCAATGTAACGACAGAAGGTAAGGGTCAGGCGACAGATCATTTATTGAGAAAATCAACAGATATTTATAAGTTTTTATGTACACTATTATTAGCGTTATTGTTAGCAGAGAAGCAACCTCTTCTGATTGGTTGTTTTCTTGCTGTGAATGTTATTCTGTTATCTCTTTGTGGCTGTTTCTTAGGAAGTCAGGCTATATATCTGCGAATCGTATCCGCCCACGTTGTCTGCTGTGATTGATTCTTGAGTTCTCAGTTAGTCTTTGTTCGTTTGTTCTCTCATGGCCCCGATTTGGGACACAAACATTGACGTAAATTGTTGTCTACCAATTTCGGCTAGCAGACAGCTCTCATCACAGCTTTAGAAGTAAAAAATAAAAGGAGAAGAATGCTTATGCAGAACACTGAGGAAAGCCTTCTTTACGGCTAAGCTACGGATCAATTTCTACAGCCGACTAATGATCAATGGATATGTGAAGCATAAACTGCCGCTTTGGATGGGCCACTTCAGTGTGTGTGTTTATAAATTCACCTCCACGTGTGGAGCTAGTTATATTGGCCACACAGCTTGGCGCACACTTTCCAAATGCATCTCTGAACATTATCCGGCATGATTAGCAAAAGGATAATGCAAGGCAGTTACTTACTGGTTCAATTCTTGAGCACTTGGTGAACTCAAGCCACGTAGCCTCAGCACAGTCGTCTTTCAAGATCGTCTACAAGGTGAGGCCAAATGGTACAAAGGGCATCAGGTTTCGGCTTTTATATATGCCGGAGGCGTTGGTGATTCGTCAATACAACCCCGAACTTTGTATACAGAAAACGTTTGACCAGTCTCTTATTCTACCATGGTCTTAACCTCTTCACTGGTCTTTCCCTGTAAAAAATGTTATATTTGATTTTTTGATTTTCAATTTTACTTTAATAATTAATTCACTATTATTACTCTCATATGTTACTTTTGGTACATTTTCACACCCTCTTCACACTTGTTAAATTGGCACTCAACTTCCCCCTTTCTTCTCACCACTCAATAACAATTTTAACCTCATCACATTTCTAATATAGATGTAGTTGTGTTCTTTGAGCTAGCTAGCTGGATGGATGGTTTATTTGACAAGCTTCCATCATTGTCCTCCAACTAGGCAGGTAGCATCTTCAGAGTGCATACTTCAATATGAATTGAAGTGAGCTTTAAGATTTCTCCACGAGTTTATTAAGCATCTCTCCTAGTGGCTGGCAGCCTTGAACATGATTGGTTATTTTTGTGTGTTTTCACACCCTCTAGGCTACTAGTTGTGTTGGTATTGATGTTGATTGTTTCCTTGACCTGAAGTCTAACCCCTTTGTGCATGAAATTTCCTTCTTATCAATTGGTAAACTGGTAAAACCAGCACCAGTCATCATCAGTGGGATAAAGAGGTTGATTGGGGTTACTTCCTGCCTTCATTTATCTGACTAGGAAACAAAGTTTCAACCACAGGCAGTCGGAAAGGATGAAGATATCAAAATCAGGCAGCTAGCCAAACAGAATTGCAAAGGCAAGATACGCCTTCATCAACCTGAAACCAGTTTGGAAATCTTCCGCCTCAGCCAGCGTAAACAACAAGATTCGGATTGTATTCAATACAAATATCAGTGAAGTCAGTCAGTGAGTCAGTCACTTCTTCTATATAGGTCAGAAACTTGCACTGAGTATACCTCACGAAAAGCATTCCCAACAGCCTATTGAAGTCTTTTATGAACAGCTGACCCCTTCGATGGGTGGCTGCCTGGCTCCATACTGAAGATGAAATGGCCAGCCAGTCGGCCGGCCGGCCAGAAAGAATTAGCAACGGGGAACTCTGGCAATGAACAAGCCGACCAATAGGCGATTGATCACCAAATTTGCAGGAGAAAGTGGCGATGGATCGACTATGTGTTGAAGAGGCCACCGAATGACATCGCGTGCATTTCAGGCCATCGCTCGAGTAGAAAGTGAATGGGAGACGACGAGTTGGTAATCGGTGCCAAGGTGGCATGGAGGAGATCGTGTGAATAGGAGTTGACAGATTATGTGGAATCGTGTGAACAGCCAGCTGGAGAGGACAGCAGAAAGGGGCAGAGTGGAGTTGTGTTGTTGAAGCTGTATATGTTTCACTTTACAATCCAAAGGAATAAGAGTCATGATATTAAACCTAATACTGACTAACTAAAATAACCCGCATGATTGATCAAAATGTTTTGATGTAAAAGAAACTACTGGATGTTAGTGTAAAGCACCCAGCCAGTCAGTTGATCAGGGTGAAGAACTGATTGAAATATAGGTATATATATGTCTATTTATTTCTTCTCTTAATCTGTTGGTTGGCTTTGGTCTAAATATCTAGAAGTACCAAGAGCGATGAATTCCTAATCCACTAAAGTGTAATATTCATTTTTCAAGTGTTGTTTTTTTCTTTAGGGATTTTGTTTGATTTGATTGGTTGGAGGATTTCATCATGAGCACTGACATCGACTGGTTAGAGAACCATTGGGAAACCAACGGCCTGAGAGAACTGCCAGACAACTGTTTTCTCCATCCCTAGTGCTTGTGCTGGACTGGCTCTTCATGAGTACGCACCCACCACACCGAAAGGGATCGAACCCAGGACCCTCTGGTTACAAGGCGAGCGAGGTAGCTCATAGATCATTAGGCACCCACTCACTGGGAGCCGATCGGATCCAATGGCCAGCCAGTCCATGAATTCTAACTGCTGTCTAGCAGTACTCACAGGTGTTTGGTTTTCCAGTGGGGTGGTTCTCTAACCACAAACCAATTTCAGTGGACATTATAAAATCCTTCAAATAAATATTCATTTCGCATTGTTTCTCTGTTGTTGTCTCTTTTTGCTTTGTCTTATTATTATTCAGGTTGCTGAAACATTAGTCAATCCGATGGGTGAAGATGATGAAGATATTGATATGAATGAAATCATTGACTTCAACTGGAAGGTATGCATATCTATCTATCTCTATATCTATATAGTGTGTGTTGTGTTGTCTGTATATTTTATTTTATTACAATGAACATAGTGTAGTACAGTTATTGATCAACATTGGGTTGGCGACTTCTCATTACTCATCTATGCATAAGCCTGGTCATCGTCATCGTGGTAGTGCTTCCCTACTGAATATGTACATTAGATTTTTAAGTATTGGTTTATAGGGATTTGATGGATTCAAGGGTTACAGGATTTCGTCATGAGCACTGACATCGGTTGGTGGTTAGAGAACCATTGGAAAACCAGACACTGGGAGTACTGGAGAGCAGGTCGGGTGTGTGAGGACAAATACTCGTCGCATGGGCTTAATGGTCTACGAGCTAGCTTGCCTTGTAACCAGAAAGTCCTAGGTTCGAAACCCGTGGTGTGGGTGAGCACTGTTAAAGAGCCAGTCCCAAACTAGGCTGACGAAACAGCTGTTTGGCAGTACTCCCTGTGGCTGGTTTTCCAATGGTTCTCTAACCAACCGATGTCAGTGCTCATGATGAAATCCTGCAACCAATGTACACTAGATTATTATTATCATTATTATTCCCTTGGGTTCCGAGTAGAACATAGGGCTGGTTTCAACAACACATCTCCAGTTTGTTCTATCTTCTGCCGTCCTCTTCAGCTGGGTATACGATTGACCATATTCTCACATCTCCTTCGCTTACTCTTCCTCACCATACGATCTCCTTCATGTCACCCTCACGCCGACGACCCACTCGTCCGTCGCTTCCTATTAGGATTCCATTGGGGCAATGACCTGCATCGCGCGCGATGTCATTCAACGACCTCCGTCCCTAACGTATCCCCGATCAATCCATTTGCATTTTCGCCTACATATTTTCGGAACAGTCGGCTCTTGGTTGATTTGTTCCACTTTTGAGTTTCGTGTTGAGTGCAATCCGAATCTTGTTCCTTATGCTGGCTAAGTGATTGCAGAAGATTCTTGTTAAACTGAAAATGCACATTCATCGTACGACGGAATAGTAGCATTTCTCGTAGTGTTTGAGGTGTTCTACCTACCTACGTCCATATTATTTTCTATAAGAGATTCACAAATAAAGTCGATGGTCTCTGATGTGGGGATATTGGTGAACACAGGGAGGAGATATCCATAGAGATCATTGTTTCATCATTGATCTTCTACCTCTTAATTTGTCTACTATCTCCTAAGATTAACTTCCTGATTGTGGTAGACTGGATAATGCGACACTCAGCGGGCAACCAGGAGGAGGACATAAAATGGACCCGCACAAAAACAACTTGATGGATCTGCACTTAACTGATGATATATGTCTGATTCCCTACAAACTAGAAGACATGCAAATGAAAAAAGCAAGAAGTTGGCAGAAGAAGAATCCAGAGAAGACAGGACTTCAGGTGAACACAGAGAAGGCAGAGATGATGATGAAGACTCCTGCCTGCCAACAGCAACAGCCACAGCAAAAACAGCAGACAACTGACAACAATCGCCAGCTAATAGGAGGAATCTGAAAGAAGCCATCTCATTTATGCCGACCCGGGAAGAGTCGTTTCACTTAGAGGCAAAAAAGATGAGCAACAGGCAGTGATCTCCGGCAATGAACCAACGAACCAACCCAACTCAACCCAGCAGGAACCAATTGTGCAAGAAATATGCAGGGAGAAATGGAGGTGGATTGCATTGTGGCCATACTGTGAGAAAACAAACCACCAAGTGAGTAGTGACATCACACGTCAGGCTCTCTCTCCGTCGAGTGGAACCCGAATGGGAAGCAGCGAGTTAGTTAGTCGTCAGTGTGCGAGGGTGACATGGAGGTGAGTGAGGAGGAGGTGATGCGAAGAGGAGATGAAAGTATGTGGTCAAACGTGGAGGGAGATGAGAAAACGTTGGCGGAGAACCGAACGCAATGGAGATGTGCGGCTGAAGCCGTATGTTCCTCTAGGAACTAAAGGAAACAATAACAGTAATAATGTTTCACTACTACTCATATGTTGTCTTCTGTGTTAGCTAAATTCAGGCTTCTACTTAACAACTAATGAGAATCGATCAGGTCCATTGTAGCCTTTTTAATGACTGAATAAACTTCTTCTTAGACACGCACAGGTCAGTATTTCACATGTGAATTGTTACCATTGCTTCTGCAGTTAGAAGAAGTTTTTTCCGTACTCGAGGGTGACAAAGACAACCAATCACCGCTCCCTCCACCACCACCAGCAACAACAATAACAAGTGCCAATCCCTATCAGTGGGGGAAATTCCGAAGAGGTTACTTCCTTCACTTATCTAGGCAGCCGGCACAGGTCAGAATGTTAAAATCAGAATCAGAAAAGCTATACAACCCTTCATTTTTCTTAAATCAGAACAAATCACATAAAAGGTGAACAATATTGTTGTTTTCAAGTAGATCCTCTTCAGGCTTTACTCTAATTTACATAGATTTATATATAAAACAAAATTAGACCAATGACGATGAGTTTGTGGATCAAATACTAATAATAATGTGGTAATAACGATGATTATAATGATAGCAAAAAGAATAATGATAATAAGGTTTATGCAGTAGGCGGCGATAAGAATAACGAAGGTAGTGAGTGATATGTGTGTGCATAACGTAGACAATTCAATAAGTAAATAAATTAGGTCAAATCTTAAAAGTTATGTAATACTAAATGCGGAGAGGAAAGATACTCCGAACTTGAATAAATATCATAGAAATACGAAGGGAATGGAAAATAAGAAAGAGTGGGAGGTTTATTTTAATTAGAATTTGCCTATGCCAGGCTAGGGAGAGACAAAGGTAGAACAAATTTCTTTTGTTGTGTGCAAAGACACTAAGATTGTTCTTCAGAATTCCGATAGCAGGTTTGAATCTCATTCGAAAGACTCGATGGAATGCGATAGATAACTTTGAGGGCACTTCTTCTTCTGTCCACTTGATGACCGCTATCATCAATGAAATGAGTCAAAATGGAACTTCTTATAGATTTTCTTTAACCTTTTCCTAAGCATGAGGGAAGCAGGATGTCAGTTAAGGGCGCGTTTATTGAGCTGTCCAGTTGTTGTTCGCCCTGAATAGCTAAATTTGTAGATACACATAGAAGTGGTGCAGCTAGGTAGGTAGCTTGTCTTTCTTTTGAGCAATCAAAATTGATCGGCAAATGGAAAATGACTAACAAAGGGTGGTGGCGACAGTATAACTCCGTTTTACTGCTCTCAATAATCTTAGATGTAAGACTTCATTATCTGTCCACTTCACCTACCTTTAGTATTACGTAACTTTTAAAATTTGACCTAATTTATTTATTTTTTATTGCATTGTCTACATATACACACACGTATTACTACATTCGTTATTCTTATCGCCACCTGCTGCACAGACCTTATTATCATTATTATGTTTATTATCATTATAATCATCGTTATTACTGACGTTCAAAACATTTACCACATTATTATTACTATTATCATTATTATTATTTGATCCACAAACTCACCGTCAATGGTTTAAATTTTGTCTTATACATAAATCTATGTAAATTAGAGTAAAGCCTGAAGAAGATCTAATTGAAAACAGCAATACTGTTCGCTTATTATATGTCTTTTTCTAATATTATTAATAATCGTGGGAATATTTAAAGATTTGAAATCTGAAATCATTTGTTGGGAATCTACACTCTGTAGTATAACGAACAAGATTCAAATTTTCAACACCAACGTTAAGTAACTCAGTCAGTCAATCACTTCTTCTATATGTGGGCCAAAAGTCATGAAAGATCTGTCTGACTCTTATCAACAGAAGGCTCTAACGTTTTAGCACCAAGAAACTCTTTTAGAACGAATCACTCAAATATTCCGGAGAAAATACAGATGGATGAATCAGACACACGATGAGGAGACGGTTGACTGACTGACATTGCACGTCAGGTTCTCGAGTGAAACGATGAATTGGACGTCGGTTCGAATGTGAAAAAGGGGGGAGAGGAAGGCTTATAGGCAATCAGTGAGCCAGCTAATGAAGAAGAAGAAGAACACAACAGAGAATAGGCTGAAATGAAGGGTTGTGCTGCTGTTTTGAGACCTTATGCGCTCCACTCCAAACCCATGAGAATAATAGAAATGTGATACAATTGGTGCAGTGAATGCATCAGATGCGGATTGATTACTGATTCCCTGGTTAGTGTTGAATAGTAATTATATAACCCTACTTGAGTATATCAATATAATAATAATAATAATTGAAGTTGAGTACACTTAGCAGAAGACGTGAATTTTCTTGATTTTTCACATTATACTAAAAGAAAAAATAAACTTTTATAATAAGGATGTGTGTATTATTCACTAGAGAATCTCTAAAAAACATTTTCTTATTATTTTATAGCTTTTATTGGACACTAGTCAGTCAGTGTGATGTGTGCCTGGCTAGTCCTTGGTGTTCGTGCAGACTGAATTCTATCAGTCAGTTAGGCAGTCAGTCAGATTTGCAATGTGGCCGTTATACCACTAGGTGGCTAGCTCGCTATCACGGTGTACATTGATTTGATAAGGCGGGCTCGAATCTCAGAAGGAGGGACATGAGTTGTTCCTTCGATGTGGTTACAGATATGCCCTGATGACGAGTGCCAACTAACAGGAAACCTAGGTCTAGATCCAAGGCTTCGTGTGGCCGATTGCCTCCAACCATCTAATATTGTATAGCTTTCTTATAACCTACAAAATGGTCAGTCATATTTGTTCTGAGTGCGTTTGTGTGTGTGTGTGTTTACGTGTTCTTCTGCCTAATTTGATATGCAATTTTGATGCATGATATCGTTTTACATCTTAATTTTATTGTCTTCCCTGGTGTCACCAGAAGGCATTTCAGACAGGCGTTTGACTTTTATCAACAGATACATTCGGCTAGCTCCATTCGGAAGATTAGATGGCCAGGAAGCCTTTTAGAACAAGGAACTCTTTTGGAAAGAAATGACCAAGGGCCAAAAAAGAGAGGCGATGAGTTGTGCATACGAATGTTACGTGGAAGGGAATCATGTGCATAGGTGGTGACAGCTTATGGGCATGCGTGGAGCCAGCTGAGCCGGCTAGTTCTGGACTCTTCATCAGTGCGCACCCACTGGGGTTGGAACTTATGACCTTCTGGTTACAGGGCAAGCGAGCCAGCTCGCAGACCATTGAGCCTCTAGTACCTGATCCAATGGCTAGCTAGCCAACCGGTGCATGAATTCTAACTTCTGCCAATTCACGCACAGCAATAGCGTGATGAATCCGCAATGTCTTCTTCGATAATAAAAATAAAAACTTACTTGATTTCAGATTGGAATTCAGGTCTTCAGCATCAAATCTCCATTTCATCCTGTTCTCTGTGGTTCTTTCTTCTAACTGGCTCCACGAATGCCTATAAGCGCTCTCGGCTCCTTCCTATACGATATTCTTCATGTCACTCTCACACCCATGCCCAACTGACTGTTTCCTATTCGGATTCCACTCGAGGGCCTGGTAAACGATATCACCCAATGGTCTCCTCATCATGTGTCCAATTCATCTTCGTATCTTTTGGCATATTTTTAAAGGATAGACTCTGGTTTGGGTTCATTGTGGTAATCCTTTCTGACCGACTGACCTTCAGTGTAGGGACAAGAAAGCTGTTGATGACTATTTGTAGTTGTCTGTTGTAAATGCTTTGCGTGTTACGCCAAGTCTGTGAACTGTCTGACATTAGTGTTGGAAAATCTGAATATTGGGCTTTATGCTGAGTTCAGAGAGCTTGTGGTGAGTTGTCATCTGAGGTGGTGGAAGCTATTGGTGTCTGTCAGGGATGCCAATTATTCCCACTTCTATTCAGTTTCATCACATATGTACTAATGGACTTAACCCTAAGTGGCTTCAGCGACTCAGGGATTGACTTGTTACCAGGGGATAATCTCGTTGACTTAGAATATGCAGATGATTTAGTCCTCCCTGCTAGGTGAAGACGCTAAAAGAATGCAGAGTCTTCTGAACACCTTGAGCTTCAATCTGTCAGTGTTTTGCATGGGATTCGCTTCCGTCAAGTATAAGATGATGATGCTAGAGAACTGGATTGGACTAAATTGACCCCTAGCTTAGAAATAGAGAGTGAAGTGGTAGACGGAGCGTGTTGACCACTTAACTTATCTGGAAATTTGCATCAGCCAATGTGAACGGGTTAATTGCTGATGAAATTTCACCAAGGATACAGAAGGCTCGTTTGACATTTTTCAGCCAACTTACACCATCTCTCTCTGGCTTAGTAGACGTGATATCCGACTGGCTGTCAACCGAAGGGCGTGCGTACTGCTCAACAGTCCTCTACATCTTTTTCCATGGCTGTAAGACCTGCCCATTGAAAGTGGAATACATAGAAAGACCCGCTAGCTGTTTTTGATCATAGGTGCATGAGTTCATTCTGTCTCCCGTGTTAGGTGGTGATATAATGGGGTGAGTAATATTGAGATTAGGCTTCGGTCGAGTGGTATGTAAGGAGGGGGGAAAATCAGTTGACGAAGTTGTGAAGTTTTATCGATTGAGATGTTTATAACACGTGTTACGTATGCCTGCCTGCTTAGCCATTCCCTTCCTCCACCGACGATCAATGTTGGCGCACATAGGATGGATCAAGTTGGAAAAGAGTTAGCCAGTGGTGGTCAAACCATAACATGGCTTCATGATCACTCAATGAAATCCACAACAGTTAGATCAAGCCAGCCAGCAAGCCACTTAGGGAGGTGTAGACTTCCTGACTAGTTGGGGTCCTCGGGATGGTAAAAACCAATGGCTGGAGACAATTGGTGCTATGGCTCAAAATAGTTCTCAATGGCACAGATGCATCCACTCCTTGTGACTTATAATATCCAACAAAACTACTTTGTTCTTCGATATTCCTATTTTTTAAACTCATATCTCTGTTTACTGTCTCTATCTTGCGTTTCTTTTTACTTTCTTCTCTAGCTTTGTGTGATGAGTGAAGTGTGGCGACTCGAACTGCTGCTGCACATCAGTGCAAAGTTGTATGTTGAAACCAGTTAGTCAAAGAATTTGCTAACTGATTTTTAGATTTTAATAAAAGTCTGTCTTGACTTTCTGATGTTGGTTGACTTTGCCATTCTCGTCAATGAAGTCAGACTGTAACTGAAACAATGGTTCCTAGATAATTGAATGAAGTGACTTCATCACCACATTCTCTATCTTCATTTGAATTATTGTCTTCATTGTCTCTTCTGACAACCCTTGTTGGTTTTGCACCTATAGTTCTTTGAATTTGTTTGACATGAGGCATAAACTGTCTGCAGAATTCAGATCTTCTGTAGCCTTCTCATCGGTCTAGCGTATGGCTTATTTTAGTCTTCATCCTTCCCACGGTTGGTTTTATGACCCAGCCTGGGTGACGCAGTTTCGAATCTCAGAAGGGACATGAGTTGTTCCTTCGAGGTTGCAGATACGCCTTGTTGATGAGTGCAAACCAGCACGAGCAAGCAAGGCTTCCTATGGCCTTTCGCCTCCAACCATCTAATACGAACAATTCACAGTGCACCATGATGGCGAGTCAGCCACCTAGCCAGGTGGTAGCCACATTGCAAACTTGACCGACTGAGAGAATTCAGTCCGCACCAAAGATAAGAATGGACACATTACACCAGTTACTGACTAGTGTCTAATCAAAAAAGAAACTAAGTCTAACACAAAAATGCCTTGGTATAGTTCTATCCTGTGACCTCACTTGGTCTATCATCCCATATTTTATCGATCTTCAATAAAATGTTCTATCTAAGCTACTTCATTAAGAAGCTGAAATCATATATAATAACTCGACCCACTCTATTTTTAGAATTAGTTAACTCTTGTTTCTTATTTATTGTACTTTACTGCCCTACACCTCACCCCACCTAAGTCTTTCTTGGGCTACTTACTCAAAAAGGACTATGTCATTTTGGGAAGAAGGGTATTAAAGGTTGTCAGTAGGGCGAGTGGTGTGCAACTTAGTCAGTCAGCTTGTTGACAGTTGACAGACAGCTGAACAAGTCATGCGTGAGAAATGGTCTAAATCCATATTGTTTGACCTTTGACACCCAGTCCCTCTAATCTCAACTGTACCCACCTCGCTGTATCTCATCTGGCAGAACTAGAAGTCAGTAAAAAACGATTATTTGCTCGTATTACCAAGTATAGGAACTCAACGATTTGGCTCATATTTGGTCAACCCGTGTTCTATGCAATAGAGACAATGTTAACCACGAAACCTATGAATGACTATGTTGTTAGCAAAATAATCGGCTCTACTATTTGCAATCTCCTATTTGTAATTCATAGTGAGACTATCTCCTTAATGAAACTGACAATCTTGCCTACTCATATTATTATCATTATTATTTACAAATTGTTTTTTGTACTTATGTGTGTATGACTTCACTGTTGGCACAAATACCAAATGTGAGCTGCCATTAACAATCTCAATCAATCCATCCCTGTAATATTACCTTTATAATTGTTTTGAATATTATTCGATAAAATGAGATGCAATATTATTCGAAATGCTGAGAATTCCAGATGGTGTAGCATTAGTATTATATTATTATTGTTACCTTGGCTTCCGAGGGGAACATAGGTCTGGCTTCAGCAACACATCTCCACCTTCTTCTATTTTCTGCTATCCTCTTCAGCTGGCTAGTCCCACGGTTGCCAAAACTCTCCTCCTCTTCATATGATCTCCTCCACATCGCCCTCGCAACGATGACTCACTCATCGCTTCCCATTTGGATTCCACTCTAGGGCCTGGTGTGCGGTGTCATTAGACGGTCTCCTCAATGTATGCCCGAAACCATTGGAAGGAGGCAGTGCACCAACGATATGTATATGCATTTGGTCAAATCTTGAGTCAGGATTAGTGAAACGACCAAACGGTGCACTGAAAAGACATGTAATTTCGTGTCCACTACTTAGCATCGCTGTTTGCGCTTGGTCATTTAAGTCTTTCCTTCGGCTGCTTGGTAGTAGCACTAACTCCGGGATGTGAGAGATTACTTAGTTTCTGGGAAATTATACATCTAATAGCTGCTGGAAAAAAAACAGGTCTACATCTATAAGTAGATGTTTCACAGATTACTTCGGTGAGTTTTAAGAATGTCATTTTAGAAGACATAATCTTCTTTAGTTTACCATCATTCTTCTTTACGGTTGCGAGATGTTCGTAGTCAATGCGGGGTGACATACAATTTTGTCAATGTGCATACATGACAGAGCGTCTGGAACTTCATTGTCACTTCACTTGTCAAATGTTTGATGTAATCTGGGATATAAATTCAAGATGTCTTAGCTCATGAGGCGAATAGTTATGACTTGTTGTCTGACAAGGCGGCTTTCATAAGAGCTTTGTCATCCGTAATGACAGTCAAAGTTGTCTGTACCTTTCAGCATGTGTCTTAAGTGTTTGTTTGATGGCCAAATGAACTGCTAGTCACTCTCTACCATCAGTGAACAAATCATTATTCTGTGATACTTCTGCTGTTTTTCTTTTTTATTTATTCAACTTTGTATACACTTTAGATAGCATGGTGTATAGTCGATGGGATGAGAACAAGTGCACCGGCGATTGTACGAGATGTCCACTGGAGCCAATCTGTTGTTGCATTACCACATACAGAAAGATCTAGACGGTTAACTGTTGGCTCAATGAAAGGATCTACGCACGATTTGAGGTAGGTTTCTTTGGATTCCGAGTGGAAGATAGGGCTGGCTTTAACAACATCTCTCCACTTTGTTCGATTTTCTGCTGTCCTCTTCAGCTGGCTGACGCCACGACTGCCCAGAATCTCTCATCTCCTGATCCATATCACCCTCACACCGACTGACCACTCGTCCATCGCTTCCCATTCATCTTCCACTCGAGGGATGACTTGCAATGCACGCATTGTCATTCGACGGTCACCTTCCTCAACATATACCCGATCAATTCATCTTCGTTTTCTCCTAAATATTTGTTTAATTGGTTCGTTCATTGTTAGAATTTCTTGTTACTTATTCTTCCTGTCAGGCCATTTGATCTTCAGTATGGAGCGAAAATGGCAGCTGTCGACAAACTAATGGGAATGCTTTTCTTGACACGCTGGCCAAGTTTCTGACTCGTATACAAGAATGACCTCATGACCTTGAAATCCTATTGTTTGTTATACTATTTTAATTTATCAGTAGAATTAGTGTCTCTCAAGGTTATTCAGAGCATATATATGTACATACATATACGGAAGCGCTGTCAGCCATTTCTTACTGTTGATATAAGATACTGAATGCTCTCCACGTCAACAATCAGTCTTCTCTTCTTGGCTTCTTGCATCGCGTTTTCAGTGGTATCGTATCGTCTTGTTTATGCTGTTCTTAATGGTGTTTATGTAACGACAGAAGACAAGGGCCAGGCAACAGCTTGTTTATTGAGAAAATCAAGTTTAAAATCAAATTTATAGATTTTTATGTATATTATTGTCAGTGGAGAAGCGACATCTCCTAATCTGTTGTTTTCTTGCTGAAAGTTATTTTGTACTGCTTGTGACCGATTATCAGAAAGTTAAGTCATTTTTCTGCAAATTCTATTTGAAGACGTTAAGTCTGCTGTGATTGGTTGGTGAATTCCTCAAGGTTAAGCTTTGTTCTTGTTTTTCTCATGACCCCGATTCGGGACGTAACATTGACGTAAGTTGTTTTCTACAATTCTGGCTTGTCGCAGCCAGCTGTCACCACAGTTACAACAATAGGCTCGCGAATCGACTAGACAGGAAATGCTTAAGCGCAAATTGCCAAGTGTATTAACGATCTTATGAGAATTTAAGACGCCAAACGATATTCCTTAAGCGAATTTGTTGTATGAAATCAAGTTTCCTATCACCAATGACGGTGTTAACGATATGACCCCTAATGGGATACCACCACTTACCCCCTACTGACTTACAGTTTTTAGAATTCTCCGAAGTATGATATCATCATTTTGCTTAAAGCAACTCAGGAACGAACAAGTAAGGGTGAACAGTATAGAAGAAAAGGTAAGATGCTCAAGATTTGATAAACCGTAAAAGGAGGAGTGGGGGTTGGAATAGGTTTTTTAGAAATCAATAAGACATGGGAAGACTAGGATAGATCAGAAGATAGACTTAGTCGAAGATACTTCACGTCTGCCTTGACTGATTTCTATACCACTATCATCTCAATTTTACAACGGTTATAACAATGAATCTCTTCATTTATTAACGGTCATATCAATTAACAGTCATCAGTCAACAATTTTTATTTTTTTGTAACAATTTTTTATTGCTAACACGTACAATGAGACCACCGCTTTTATTTTTCTTCAGTGGAATTTCTCCAATGTGTGTTATAGAGTTGTGTTTGCTAGAGAGATAAATTTTTTGTTGTTGGTGTATTTCTTATATTTATGGTGTTCACTTTAGAAAGTCACATTTTTTTAACAAAAATTAATCATACTACTGAATTCATAGTCCTCATTGAGACATAAAAACAAAGAATTCAACGGAGAAAATTTTCTTTTCGAAAATTACTTCCTCACACAAAACTACTAATGAAGTTGGAAAGTCTTGGTATCAAAGGCAGCTTACTAAAACTGGACTAGGGAATTCCTCATAGATAGAAGGTATCAGAGTCAGGATAAACTGGAAACTCTCCTCCTGGACAACACTGCGTAACGGAGTGCCACAAGGCACTGTACTCATATCTCTCCTATTTATTTTGTATATCAATGAGTTATCTTTGCTCACCGATTCAGATCAGATTTATTAGGTGAGGATAGAATGCTTGGAACCTATGTTAATCCCTTTCTAGTAAATTTCTGTGCTTGTCGAAACCATTCTTGAATGAATCAGTTGAGGTTGCAGGTACCACTTCTTCTGAGAGTCAGTCGGTTCCAGGTGTTTATCACTCAATGTGAGAACCAGTACTCAACAACAATATGGTTTCTCCATGGCTTTTGAACTCTTCTGCAATGTCGCCTAAGGGAAGGAAAATAGAGAATAAATCAGGTCCGTAGTCATTATTTACAATTTTAAACATTGTAATTAAATCTCCTCTCTGCCTACTAAGCTATGATAGGGAGAAGAGATTTAAACTGTCTAGTCTTTCGTCGTATGATAAATTAGTCATGCTGAGAATCATATGTGTTGCCTTCCTTTGAACCTTTTGTAGAATATGTGAGTCCCCTCTAAGACAAGAAGTGGCTGGCTGCCTGGATACAGTTTTCCAGGAGGTGAACATATCTGTGGTGATTCTAGTAAAGACTCTGCGAATTGCCCATAAGGATGTGAAACTACGTGCAGCCACGGCGCGACAGTGTGCTGTAGTTTTTAAATTGTGACTTACTATGACACTTAAATCCAAGTGAGTCTGAACTGATGGCAGAGTTATTCCCTCTATTTTGTAGGTGCTGTTGCTTGCGTGTCCGATGAGCATGATTGCACATTTCGTTACATTGATGGGAAGCATCCATTCTCTGAACCACTCTGACAATTTGTCGAGGTCTTCTTGCAACGTGAGTATATCACTGTCGCCCTTCAACTCTCTTCAGATTTTTAAGTCATCTGCGTATAAAACCATGGGGGCATCGGTGAGCAGAGATAACTCATTGATATACAAGAAAAAATCAGAGAATTCCGAGTACCGTGCCTTGTGACACTACACTACGTACTGTTGTCCAGGTGCACAGTTTCAAGTTGATCCTAACCCTCTGCCTCCTATCTATGAGGAATTCCCTAATCCAGTTTAGTAAGCTGCCTTTGATACCAAGAGCTTCCAACTTCTTCAGTAGTCTTTTGTGAGGAACTTACTGTTATTGTCTATTGTAATTCATTATGTATATATATATATATATATATATATATATATATATATATGAAAATGAAATTATTGATTCAGGCATCTATAAAAAATAAAGTAATTGAGCAAAGAATGTCCTTTTCAATAATTTCCTCCTCCTCTGGATCTACACATATATATGCATCTTTATATACATAGAATAGTCATCAATAACAATATTGATGTGCTTTTTAAATACTACCGATTTGTCAAGTAAGGTCACAATGGAATTACAGACAGTTCACTAAAGATGCATAAATTATAATAAGAAGCATAAAAATGTAATAGTAAATAGAATATCAAATAAAATTTCGAAAATTTCCACAAGAAATTGAGGATCATTAGACCCTTGATAGCCATGGTAAGGACAATGTCTGAACTAGCTTCTTTTGGACATAAATTAGGCTTCTTAATGTGGATCCCAATGGCCTCAGCAATATTTAGTAAACGAACTCTTAAGGGGAAGTCAAGATTAATTGATATATAGTAGATGACTTTGAAAGCCTAGTTGGCATCCATCTTGTGTTCTGTATCTACAAGATGAGATAGAATAGAGGTATGAATGGATTTTGTTTGTCCTTTACTTAACCAACCAATGGGCAGGGGGATGTTCGGAAATCCAACGAGAAACATGTCTAAATGTATGGCCTATGCAACTAACTGGCTCACTCATCAGGAGCAGTTAAATACACATAGATGAGGCAAAATTAGGCAGTTTATCTCTTACTCTTAAACGAAAAATAGTGGTGAGTGATTTTGAAGACATAGAGTAATTCAGCAGAAGTAGGGAATGCTCTTTTCTTCACTGCATTCCTAAGACGTTGTGTTAATATCTCGTTGATGTTATCCCCAAGGAATTGAATTTGTAAGCATAAGACCTTCGTTTCTTCGGAACTGTTGTTTGGTACTTTGGTCTGCCCGCCTTGATTTTTTTGATTCATATTCTTATCAATGAACTATTCTGGGGTAACCGTTCTCACTCAGCAACCATTGATGAGAAAATTTTCTTCGCTGAATTCTTTGGTTTTATAATACTTATAATAATAATTATTCGTCACATTTTCCATATATATTGTTGTTGTATTATTTTTATTTTTGCGGGTGGTGTTTACAAATAGTATGCCTTGTGGAGTTTCTCTATATTATGCTAACCAATATTCAATCTCCTTCTGCATCCTCTTACAGATTACATCCATTGAACGAATATATATACAGAATATATGGTTATATAATTCCAAAAATGGTGTAACTAACTAACTAACTCACCAACTAACTAACTAACCAACCAACCAACCCATCAAGTGAGCTTCGACAATGTGTAAAGCTGTACAAAAGGAATTTAGTTCACAATAAAAACTTGATGAAGGTTTTTAAAAAAATCGACAGCATCTAAGCGTCAATGAGAAAACGATTTCCAGTCAATATTAGCTGAATGATCTTCAGTCGATTAGTGATTACTGAGAATTCCCTGCGGAGAATGACAGTTTACGCCCCCCCTCCCTACCTCCTTATGGGATTGACTCAAAGCAATTGTCAAAAACTGGATAAATCAATGTCAGAGTTCCATATCAGGTAACGCATTATTCCACGTTGAGAAAGGTGGTACCTTGACAGACAGACAGCCAGACGAATGATGTGATTAGAAAGTAGAGAACACGAAGTTCAGCAACACAGATATCTGTCATCTTTTCGGCGATTTTATTTTCAAAAGCAACTGTACAATCGCATTTAATTACATAATTTTACATAGATACAATTTTTATTTGATTCCACATAATTAGGAAGGCGAATAAAAAGTGAAAATCATTTTCAACTTGATATGGTTTACGAGGAGAGGCTTAGAAAC